GAGTAACTTTAAAAAAAAAAAAAAATATCTTTATACGACTAAGATTTAAATGTTAAAAGTTGTTAGGAAATGGAATTTTCTAGAAGAATTCAAAACTTTATTGCTCACTAAAAGTCGTAAGTGAAAATGGCGTACATTATTCGTTAAGGGAATTACTTAACGTCATTTTATTACTTTTTTTTTTTTTAAACCGAATCAAAAACTTTTATTATAAATAATCATGAGTTTTTGTTTAAATATAAAAACAATTAATAAATAATAATAATAATTATTATTATTATTATCGGGTAAGAAATTATTTTTAATTTATTAATAATAATAATAATATTAATTAATTTTCTTTTTTTTTTTTGTTTAGTGAAATTTTAAAATTGTGTTTTTTTTTTTTGCGATAGATTATTATTATTAATATTATTATTTAAATTAAAATGATTTTTGTTTTTTTTTTAAAGTAGTTATATTGTAAAAAAAAAAAAAAAAAAATTGAAGTGATTTTTTTTCGTAAATTTAATTCATTTGGAATTTGTGCTTCGGAGTGAGTATCCACAACCGTCGAATTCCGTTAAAAACAGGAAGTAAACAAAAAAAAATCAAAACGTCCATTTGAAAAATGAATTCCTCAGGTAAGTTTTTTTTTTTATTTTATTTTATTTTTTTATGTTTGATAAAAGAAATTTATTCATTCGATTAAATTACAAATTTTTCTCTCTAAAAAAAAAAAAAAATTTTTTTTATATTTGTTGATATTTGTCTTGTAGTCTTCTGGTTCCCCCCACCCCACATACACACACGCACGTTCGCGAAAAAAAGAAACTAAAGCTAAATTATCAGAAAAATACCTTTTTAAATTTTAAATATTATATTTCAACAATATATTTTATATTAATTTAATTTAAAATTATTTAATTTCGCGAAGATTTTTAACCACAGATTAAATTTTTTTTTTTTTAACCGAAAACAAAAAGTCATAGAGTAAATAAATTTTTTTAAATTGCAAACAATTCATAATAAACGGAATCGTGGAGCGTGTAAGTTATTGACACGATTTTTGATTTCAAGTTTAGTTTTATTTCGTTAACGTCGTTGTTAAAATTAAATTTTACCGACAGAAAAATAAAAAATGAAAATCGAATAATATTTTGGATTTACGTATAATATTACGTATAATTGATGCCTCACACGTCAATTAAAAAAAAAAAAAAAAAAAGTGACAAACGCGATTCCCGGACATTAACGCGGATTTAATTAATTAAATAATATTAATAGTAATAAAAATTTAAATACAAAATATTTTATAGATTTTCAAGATTTTTGTGAAAAATATCATCTGGTTTACCATTATGGATTTCAGTGGATTTATTTATGAATGGACCAACAATAAATAAAATCAAAAATAATTTATTAACGCAAACAAAATTTTTAAAATTTTTTTTACATTGCATGCAAATTTACATAATAGTAATAATAATAATAATAATAATTACCTATTTACAAATTAATTAATTTAAATTAATTTTATATGCAAGACAATTAATTATCATTATGTTTTTTTAAAGTCTTATTTTTTATTGCATGTGCTTTTTTTTTTTTTTTTTTTTTTAATTTATGATGCATGTCATTATTTTAATTTTTGTTAAATGAAAAATATTAACGAACATAAAAAAAAAAACTTCGTTATTTTGGAAAAAATTAAAATTTGCCGTAAAAGGATTGTCACTTTTTTTAACATTCATCACTAAATAATTTATTTAATAAATAAATAACAACAATAATAAATGCATGTCAAAAAATAATATTAATAATAATAATAATTTAAAAAAGAAAGAAAAAATTAATCGTTGAGGGTTTAACAATAATGGCGGTTCTGAACGTTAAACACGAATTTTTAAATGTGAACGCAACCATTTGCTGCCTCAAGTCTTGCCGTGTTAAACCTGTAACAACAAAAAAAAAAAAAAAAAAAGAAGTTTATTATGGAGTAAATCCTCGTTTAAGTTGATTACCTAGAAACGATGCGTTAGCAACATCCAAATAGGAACCTCTATGAAGGCGCTGCTAACGGTGGCACTGAGTGGAAAGCTCGATAGCCTTGAAAGTGAAACTCGTGTAATGGCAAATTGACAGTTCGCAAAAAGAAAAAAGCAAAGGTCAGTTGCCGGCTTAGATCTTTTTCAACTGCGTTTATGATTTTGTTGTAAGAGGTTATTCTTTATTTTATTCTTAACTGCTTTTTTTTTTTTCTCTCTTTTTCTTTTTTCTTTTTTACGTTTATTATTATTAAAATTTTCAAATCCATAATCATTAATTAAGTAATATATATATATATCTACCGTGTAGAATGGAGCCATGTCAGATTTTTAATTTTATTATTTGCTTGAAAATATAAAATTAAATAAATTTTAAGTATTCAATAAATATGTAAATTGATTTAGTTGTTAAAATAATATTAATAATAATCCCTTTTGTAATGATTAATTTTTAAAAATAAAAGAAAAGACGAAAGTCGAAAATCATTTTTGATATAATGAGGATATGGACGGTTTATAAGGAATGGTAATTTTTTTATAGCGTTTCGTCAAAAAGTTACAAGGATCAGAATGGGCGATCACTTTTGTTTAAAATGGAACAATCATCAGGAAAACCTCACTGGAATAATGAATAAGTTACTAGATGAACAGAAATTTGTTGATGTTTCTTTAGTTTGTGAAATGAAAACCTTTAAGGCTCATCAAACCGTGTTGTCTGCGTGCAGCCCTTATTTCGAGCAAGTTTTAGAAGAAAATCCTCATCCTCATCCTATAATTATTCTTCGTGATGTAAAAGAAGGGGAAATGTCTGCTTTATTGCAGTACATGTACAGAGGAGAAGTCAGCGTGAGAGATGATGAACTTTCTGGATTTCTTTATACAGCTAAAGCATTAAAAGTTAGAGGATTAAGTGAGAATAAGAAGGAATTAATTCCTCCAAATTCAAAAGAGGATGTTCTTCATAATAACAATTTACTTCTTGAAAGTGAAATTGTAAGCCCTCCCAAACGTTTAAAGACATTAAATCAACTATTAGACCAGGACACTTCAATTAAAAATCAATCCGATTCTCAGGTATGAAATTTAAAATTTAAAAAAAAAAAAAAATTGATTGATTGATTGATTGTTATTTTTCCTTCGATTGTGATATGCATAGTTATATTAATATTACAGCCATCAACAACAACAGTTTCTCCTTTATGCAAGTCAAATCCTAAAATTTCATCTGGGCTCTTAACCCAACATATTTCCTATTCAGAAAATTCATGTGATTCTGCTTACAATGAAAAGTCATTACATTCTCAGCCGATAAAGCAAGAAGTTGAATATATACCTGGTGGAAATGAAGGTCAAAATTCTACATCCCATCAATCGGTAAGATTATTCCTCTCATTTAATGAAATATAAATAAGCAGTGAAAGCGATGAAAAAAAATTTAATGGAAGGAAACATTACTTTTCTACTTATTTTCTAATTTTAAATAACAAAAGAAGTTTAAAACAACCCATTCATACACATAATTATTAGAATTCATAATTAATTAGATTGTCCTTTTTTTTTTAATCATAAAAATTTATAAAAACCTACCTTTAAAGGTTAGAAAATTTAATTATTGTATTGTTTGAATTGAGTAAAAAATGTTTTTTAAATAATATATATATATATATATATATATATTTCAAGGGGAAAAGAAAAACTTTTAATTTAATTACACACTTGAGTTTGCTTGTCTTTTTTTACTAAGTAAAATTTCATTGATTTGTGTGTTACGGTAACGCGACAAAGTTTATTTTTTAAATCCAAAGGGCAATAAAAAAAACAAAAAAGAAATTCTGTTTTACAATAAAATGTTGAAATTATATATTTATATCAATTGTTGAATGTAATGAAATTAAAAATCTGACCTGTACAGTGATTTGTATCAATAGACACAAATGTGGATTTTAATAATTAATTTATTTTGCCAGCAGAGCAATGTTGAGCCGAAACACGATTATTATCGAAAATCAGGAGATTGGAATTTCGATTTCGGAAATGCTGCGGACAACAGAAGTTTTCAAACTCAGAAGGTAGAGTTACCAAAAGTGCCTATACCCATGACTTACAGTTTTTCGTCACAGCTCCAAGGTACATCCATACCTGGATTATATTCTTGCGTGTCAAGGGTTAAACTTAAAAAAGATCAACCGAGCACTTCCACCACCGAATCGAAATCTAAATCCGAACCGTCTGCGGGATCATCATCTTGCAATTTGAATCAGTCCATTTCTGTAATTAGGAGTGCAGAACTTTCAGAATCCACGTCTCAATCAGGAACGATGCAGCGAAAGGGAGGTCGTTTCCGACCCGGATGGATGGAAAATTATTCCTGGCTTCAATACGACGAATGTTTGAATACAATGTATTGTAAAACGTGCCGGAAATGGAGCAGCAGCGTACCGGATATAAGGACCTCATTTGTCGAAGGAAATGGTAATTTCAGGTTGGAAATAGTTAATCACCATCATAAAAGTAAAGCTCATAAGCTGTGCATGGCTAAAGAGGAAGAATCGGTTCCAAAAATTGAATCTGTATTGAGTGAAAATAATAATTAGTACCTGTTGAAATGGCTGTACAATACTATATACATACATACATACATATTTATATATTTTATCTCAATTTTATTTTATTTTTCGTATTACGAATAAAAAAATATTAGGAAAAATGATGAGATATGTATAATTTGATTTTTTTTTTTTTTTTAAGTAATAATTATTATTAAATGGTACATAAATTTTTTTTGTTAACATTACTTATTATTATGTTTAAAATGCTTAAATTTTAGGTAAAACTGTTCACAATCACAATTTAATTATATTTTGAGTAGTAATGCATTAATTATTATTTGGTACGAAACAAAACTATGTAAATAAGTTTTTCACGATTAACTATAAAGTTTCATTATTAACTCATGTTGAAAAGTTGTACAGATATTTATTTTTCGATTAATTAACTTTTCTTTCTTTTTAAATATTGGAAATTTTTCCCTATAAATATATATATATTATTGTGCCATTTTGTAAAGCTTTTTTTTTTCGTTTGGCTGGTCCAATAAATATATATTTTAGTAAATTTATAATAAAATTATTTACTTCACGAATTTTTATATTTTTATCTCGATAGTTAACCGTTGCATTAAATAGAAGTATTTTTCATTTAAAATAAAGAGCGCTGGATAATAATAATAATGATTATAAAATTTTTAGTCATCATATAGATAAATTAAAACATTTTAAAAACATTGTAAAAAAAAAAAAAATTGTATTATACCATTTAATTATTATTATTATTGAAAAATGATGTAAAAATTAATTATTTTTTAATGCACTAATTCAATAGAAGCACATTTAATATTTTTCGGGTTATAAATGGCCGAATAATTTGTAATTTAAATAATTATTAAAAATTGTTTTCATTTATTAATTATATACATATATGTAATGAATAATGAAAATTTATGTGATTTTTTTTTTCTCGCAAATTATTATTATTATTATTTAGCATTGAGATATATTTTTATATATGTATAATAATTTTAAATAAATAACAGTTACCAATAAAATAAAATAAAATATTTATTTTTATAATTTTTAAAAATAATTCGATGAAAAAGGGTGGAAAAATATGACAAAATAAATTTAAATAGACACACACACACACGAGGCAATTATTTATGTAATATTATAATTGTTTTTGACATGCAAAAAAAATTGATTTTTTTTTGTTATTTACATAATTTCACATCGAATTTGTTTAAAAAAAAAATTTTTTTTTTTTAACTATTATTCAGTATTCAGTTGTTTTAGTAATGCTCAGAAATTAATTGTAGTTTTTTTTGATTAAATTTTAAATTAATTTGAGTTAAAAAAAAAAAAAAAAAAAATTCGTTCCTAAAATATTTGTTGTATTCACGTGTTGTTGTACGTATGAATTTTATTTTTATCTTATTATTATTATTATTATTATTATTATTATGTGTATTATATTATATAATTATATATTGATAAAATATTTTGGTGCTCATTTATAAATTTTGTGCTGCTTTTATTTTATTTTATTTTTTTTTTTTGTCATAGAATTTGAAATATATGGATGTGCGTGTGTAGGTATAAGTAGGCATATTTAGAAAATAAATTTCAAGTCTTTTACCTCAAAACTGACCAAAATTTTTTTTTTTTTCGAGTATTTAATTATTATTTTAATTGTTTAGAATAAATACAAATTATTTATAATTGGTACAAAAAGTAGGAATCTTTATTTTATTTTATTTTTTTTTTTCATTAATTAACTAACACTTCACGTTACTTTAAATAATTTTTAGTTTTTAAATAAATTTCTAACATTAAAATTAATTTTCTTATTATTATTATTATTATTATTATTATTATTATGGAAAACAAAAAAATTTGTTTAACTGTGATACAAATGTTTGGGTCAAATATTTATATAAAATTTTGTTATAATAACCATAAATAGTTTTCAATAAGAAAAGAAAAGAAAAAAAAATAGATGGTTACTTTTACTAAATACCTCATACAATATAATGTGTTATATATATATATGTACATAAATACATAAATACATAAATAGGTAGATATATAATTTATATTTAAAATTTTTTGTTTTTCAATGACACACACACAACTTTTTCTTTTCTTTTCTTTTCTTTTCTTTTCTTTTTTTTTTAGTTATATTAAAAAATATATAAATAAATATTGACATATTATGTGTTTATTTGTTTTAAAAAATTTATTTTATTATTAGAAATAAAAAGAAAATTTTAATGTTATTTGTTTTTTTTTTTTTTTTTAATTAAGTTTTTGAAAAATTCATAATAAAAAAATTAAAAAATTCTTAAAAAAAAAAAAAAAAAATTATTTGATTGTAAAATTTATTTAAACGGAAAAACAATTTTTTTTTTTAATACACGACACACACGCACACACACACACACACACACACAATAAACCGAATAAAATAAATAAAAATAATAAAATGATTTAAAATTGTTTCAGGAAGAAAGATTGAATTTTATTCATGTTCACGAACCTGGTGGAACTTCCGTTGTGGAAAATTTTACTCATAATTTTCCAACTCATCATGTTTTCGACAGTAAGTATTATTATTATTTTTTTTATTTTTATTATTAACAAAAAAAAAATTAATTTTATTCACCCCCTTGAATTTAATTATATATTTATATTTTTTGATCGAAAAGGAAGGATTTTATTATTAATAATTAGTGAATGAGTATTTCTACTAAATGTTTTTTTTATAATTTTATTTATTATTTTAAAATGAAAAAATTCCATGGATTTCACATATAATTATTTTTTCGTTATTTTCAAATTTTTTCATGAAGGTTTGATATCAAAAACAACAACTTTAAACTTGACGATTGTTTTTTTTTTTTTTTTCAGATTCTAGGCAATGGCATATAAAACATGCATTTGAAAAAATTAACGGAACCGGTTTTAAATGTAAAATATGTGGACAAATTAAAAAACATGTGAGAAATCATTATTTGAAACATTTTCCGGAACATCACGAATGTCATTTGTGCAGGAGAACATACACAAGAAAAGATAATTTAAATTCTCATTTAAAAAGGGATCATTTTCAATCGGTAAAAACCCCATCATCATCCTCTTCTTCTTTTAATACATTCAAAAGACTTACAAAAAAATTGGAAGAATATCAAAGGAATGTAGATAATGGAAATAGTACAGGGGATGTTTATGCAACCCTTAAATACGTCCCTGATTCTTCAAAAACAATAAAAAATTCAGAAAATTCTCAAACGGCATCAATTCCAATTGATTTATCATTACGTCCCAATTCTGTACCGATTCGCAATTCAATTTCATCCAAATTTGGAATTTTTCCAACATTATGCAATTATTTTCACACTTAATAAATTTTATTTTTCTTTAAATATGACGTCATTCGTTAATCTAACCAAATTTTAAATGGTATGAGGTAATAAAATAATATTAAGGATTTTAGAGATTTATTCAAAAAATAATAATAATTTTTTGTCACTAATTATTTATTAAAATTTAAAATTTACTTTTTAAAATAATAATAAAAATAGTTGCACTTGAAAAATTTTACCATCAAAATGACTAACATACATTAATTATTAATAAGTGTCAAAAAAACTCAATACTGTTTCTCGTTAAGTAATTAACACACCCCCTCCCCACTCTTAACAAAAAAAAAAAAAAAAAAAAAAACAATTTAAATTATAATTTTTACAATTGTACTATTTATATTTAAATAAAATATTTAAATTAAACTGTTTTTTTAATAATTACAATTGAAAAAAAAAAAAATTCATAATTGATTGTTTTTTTTTCTTTTTTCAAATCATTAAATAATGATTTACATAACAATTAATAGTATAAAGAAGTAAAATATTATATAAAAATAATTTCAGACTTTAAACATTAAATGTAGACGAAATAACCTAAACATTTAACAAAATAAATGAATAAATTATTTATGTTTCAAGTCGAATAAGTAAAAAAAAAAAAAAAAATTTTAAATTCTTTATTACTCACTATTAATAAATTAATCAGTAAACTATATTTGTTTCACTTCCATGGGGTGCATTTGAAACTATTGCTTCTTCTAAACTGCTTTCAAGTTTTTTATAACTATTAGTATTTGGTCTCCTTCTGTTTCTCCTATTGCTTTTTCCTTCTAATGCAAATGCTAAAATCTGAAAAAAGTAATCATTTAACGTTTAAGTATCACTTATAATTAAAAAAAAATTGTTAATTTTATTACCTTATTTTTGTTGTGAAAAGCAAGATAGCCAACAATTATAATTGATGACATCATTAAAAAGTACACAAAAAAATGAGAATCATCACCTTGAAAAAATCTTTCTTTAGAATATGTGTCAATATTAATATTAGAATTGTCAAAATCTTCATTATCACGAAACTGTGCTTTATTATATACTCTAGCAGGAATAAAAGTTGTTTTTTTTTCATATGTATTATCACTTTCTTGATTTTGATTATTCAATGGTGAATTATCTTGAGGTAATGTTTCTATTGTCTTTGGATAATTTTTATTTTCTAATAATAATAATGAAGATGATGATGATGGAGTCTGTATAGAATCGCCAATTTTAAGTGTTTGATCCTCATTTAAACCACTTTGTGACTGTAAAGTATTATTTATTTTCTCATAATTTGTTCCTGAAATGGTTGTAGTTTTATTTTGCAATTTTTCAGTGTTTACATTGTTAACTTTATTAGTACTTTCTTGAGGATTCTCATTTAAATCTGTATTAATAATTATATCATCAGTTTCCTTGTTGCTTTGTGTTGTTGTTGTTGTTGTTTTTTTGTTAAGCATCAAGTATAAATCATTTATTTTAGCTAAAGAGAAGCATTGTCCTTGAATTAAGTCTAAATCGTAACAAATCCTTGAACAATAAGTTTCATTTGAAAGTAATTCTTTTAATTTTAAAAATTTATTTTGTCCTGATGAACTAATATTGAAAAAATTAATTGGGCATATTTTATCAACATTTAAAGGTAATAAATCAAATTTAATGTCATTTCTTTGACATAATTCATAAAGCATGTTGTTAGCTAACAAGCATGCATCTTTTAACACATATTCTTCATTAGTTTTCACGTAAATATTTGATTTAGAATTATTACAATTAGTAGCAAATTCAATTATTTTGCTATTTAAAACGGTCAACAAATTTCTTGAGCATGTTTCTTCATTCAATACTCTTTCAAATATTCCTATTTCTGATTTATACGTTGATAATGAAAGTGAAAAAAAACTAAATAAAAGTAAAACAATGTAATTTAAATGCATTTTTAAACATTGCACAAAACTAAGAGTATAAACCTAAATTAGTCAGTTTCCTTTGGATAATCGAATTTTTAACTACCAACTTAAGTGGTAAATATAGAGTTTTTATTAAAAATTTATTAATATCGAATAAAAGTTAGGTCACGTCTGTAGTGTGATAAAATCTATAAAAATTTAAAATATATTACGGTAATGGATTAATATTAATATAAAAGAAAAGTCAATAACATGGCTTTAATGAATAATAAAAATTTCATTTCAAATGTTTTGAAACAGGTAAAACGTTTGTTGACTGTGAAATTGAATTTTTTCTTTCAATATTTTCTCTGGGTAAATATTAAAATTTAAGAAGGAAAAAAAAAAAATTATTTCTGTAAAATAATTTCGTTTATTCGTATTAAACTATAAAAAAAAATTTTTTTATCGTAAAATTGAGTGTATAAAAATGGTTCAACATTTAGTTTCTCCTGTGAGTTATTCAAATGAACAGTGAATTCAAATTTTAGTAACGTTTATTTTATAATCCAACTTAATTTAAATTATTTACTTTTTGATTTTTTCTTGAAGTAACAAAAATTAAAGTAAAATTTTAGTTATTTTTATTTAATAATCAAATTGTTTTTTTTTTTTTTATCAAAATATAAAAGTTTGGATATCTCATTTAGTTTTTAAGTGGTAAATTTTAAAGGTTTAAAAAATGCAAGATAAAATAATCCTTTATTTGTAGCGGTAAATGAATAATAGAAATTAAACTATTTATTAACAAATACTAATTCTCTTGGGTAAATAATTAGAAATTAACAAACAATTTAAATTAATATAAAATTATTATATTAAAATACTAATATTAATTACAAACTAATTAATTTCAATTTCTCAATTTATATTTACTAATATTTAACAAAGCAATTAATATGTTTATCTCAAGTTTTTTAATATAAAAAACTAATTGTAAAAATCGTTTTAAGACTTTGTTAAAAAGTGTAAAAAGTAAAATATTTTGTTGCACATTTTAAATTATTTAAAAGTGTTACATTATTACAGTTAAAGAATTCTCAAATTGCAAATAAAATAATTTAGGATTAATTAATTAAACTGGAACAGGTAATTGTTTGGCCACCAATGAAAGTATAACCTCCGTACTGTATTTCCAGTTGCGAATATTTTTTGAAACTTGACACCAAAATTCTCCATGGTGCGGTTCCGCGGCAACGCATCTTTTTTTAACGTCACTTTGAGTTTCCTGAAAATAAAATTTTTATGTAAATATTCTTTAAATTTTATACTTTCTTACTGTAAAACATAATAAAAAAATTACTTCGGTTCCATTCAATAATTCAAATTGATAGAAATAAGCCCAGGCATCTCCCAAATCTTGATCGACTTTTACTGTTCTATTGAACCATTCGCGGCATTTTTGCAATTTTCTTTCACACCAAAATAATCTAATAAAAAAACGAAATGAATAATAATTATACCACAAATTATTATAAAGGGGACAAAGAAATAGTTTTTAGTTATAAAAACAAAATTTAATTAATTAAAGTCTTACTTACTTTGAAACTGCCAAGAGAACATTAGGATCATGTTCACATTTTTTCAAAGCATCAACGCTTTTAGTTTTTCTTTGAGGTCTACTTTCCATAAATATAGCTTCAGCCCATAAAATACCAGAATTGGGACATTCCTGTAGAGCTAAAAATTTTAAGTAATTTATTTTTTATAGTTTAATATAGTTTAATAACCAACAAACCACAATATATGGGGGAAAAAAAAAAATACCTTTGGCCATTAAATTATTAGCAATATCTTTTAAACCGGCTCTTGATTCAATTCTTATTGCTTCCAACCACAATTCGGCATTTTTTGGATTCCTTAACCTTCCTTTTTCTAAAACAGAACGGGCTCTCGTTAGTAATCCCCGCCTTTCTTCTAAATTAGCAAGTAATCTCCAAATTGGTACAGATGAGGGACATTTTTTAATCTGAAATAATTAAGTAAATTAACAAAATTTCATAAAATAAAGAACTATGTCTTTTTTTATAAATCAAAAAAAAAAAAAAAGTTACCCCTAAATTGTATGTTTCCAAAGCTTTATCCACCATATTTTGCTGCTCTTCTATTTGACCCTTCATGAGCCACAATTTAGGATAATCTGGAAACATTTTTATAGCCTCTTCTAATAACTTGTGTGCCTTATCTAAATCATTTAAAGCCCATTCTAATTTTGCTGATTTCATTAACACCCTTGGACTTGGAGCAGAAGCTCTAGCATTTGCTAGTAATCTTCTTGCTCTCTCATATTCTGAATTTTCAGATTCTAATTTAACAGCCGCCAACCATATTTCTTCTGAATTTGGATTAGCTTGAAAAGCTAATGCTAAAATACTTCGAGCAGCAGACACATTACCCTGTAAGCGAAATGCGTCCCATGTTATTTTTTGTAATTTTTTTAAATATTAAAAAAATTAATAGACAAAAATTTAACAAACCGCAAGCCATTTTGATTTGGCACCCATCAGCCATAATACTTCTGATTTTGGACAATGTGCAACAGCTCTTTGAAGCAACGCTTCTAAGGATTCTCGCGTTCCGTGAGCTTTTTCAAAATAAGCAGCCCTTAACCAAATTGATTTTTCGCTAGGAAAAGTTGATAGTGCGTGGGCGTAAATTGCTCTCGCGCATTCAAATGCTCCCTGACTGGCACACTTAAAAAAAAATAAACATTAAAAAATTTTTGAAGGGTTTAAATATTAACATTGAAATTGTTTTTGTTGTTACCATTTCTGCATCTTCTAACCAAGCATGTTTCCTATCTTCTTCTTCAACACCTTGACCTATGACCGCTCTAATTACCACTTGACATGTATGAACCGACCCAGCTTTTTCAGCTTCCATTGCTTCTTTAAACCAATGCTCTCTATTAATCTCCACGCCATTCGCACTTAGGGATGATATTGCTTTAAAAAATTTAAAATTTTCTTGGTCAATTATTCATATTTTATAATTTTACCACTCAATATCGTTATTTTTTTAATCTACCTATGCAAAATTAATATACTAATATTTACCCCTGTCAATTATTTTGTCAACCATGTGTTTGTTGCCATTGGCTTCTTCTAATTTAGCGGCAGTAGTCCAAATTTGACGATCGGTCGGAATATTTTCCCTAGCTTTGTTTAGTACTTTTCTTGCATTTTCATAAGTTTCAAGTCGGGCAAGTGCAAGCCATAAATCAACATTTGTAGGACAGCATTCTACGGCTCTGCTTAAAAGAATTCTAGCATCTTCTGGATCTTCTAATTCTACTGCTGCTTTCCAAAGTCTAACAGAATTGGGAATGTGTTCTAATGCCTAAAAGATAAAATAAGTATTTTTGGTAATTTTAATAAACTAACTCGATTTGGGTGCAGTTTGCAATTTTGATTCAAGCTAATAGGTAGTCTTTGATGACACTTCTGATCATTAACCCAATTTTAACTTTAATTCAGAAAAAAATTTAAGTTTAAATAAAGTCTACACAACCCTCAAAACACAACAAAAAATTTTTAATATTTTTCTGCATTAATACCTTTCTATAAACTCTTCTTTTAGCATTAGTTTCTGCTTCCAAGTCGGCTGCTCTAATCCAAATTCTTACTGATGTTGGTATATGTCGAACTGCTTGAGCAATAACAGCTCTTGCTGTGTCAGGAGGCTGCAAACGTGCAGCTTCTAACCAAAGATCTTCAGATTTTGGATTAACTTCACAACCTTTCATTATCAAATTTCTAGCAGCTTGAACTTTTCCAGTGACTTCTTCCAATCTGGCAGATGCTATCCATGCCGGTGGATGATTAGGATTGGTTTCACGTACTGATTTAAGCAACAATCTAGCCTTTTTTATATCACTAAAATCATATTTTTTTTACATTATTTTAAACAAAAAAAAATATTTCTAATTTATCAATTAACTATTTTTATGCTAAAATTTTGTAACTTTTCACAAATCTTACTTAATGTCACCTCCATATGTAGGAATCATACTTTGAAGGTCAGTTAAATATCCTTTTGGATCTACAACAGTTTGCCCTTCAACGGAATCTGATACTTGACTTAGTTTAACATTCATTAGAGTGTTTCTGGCTTGACCAATTTTTCTTAAATCTAAATCTCCTGTAGGTGTTAACATACCAGGAGTTGAAAAACCAGGGGTAGCATTTCCTGATGGAAATGTACTAGCTAAACCACTTGTTGGATCTATAGAGGTTGCAGACTCCCCAGCCATGTTTCTAGATAATACAGAGTCTGGCAAAGGTGTAAATCTGGAAAAAATAAAAAAGTTGAATTAAATTAAATCGAATACACATTCACACACACACACACACACATATGTATATATATATATATATATATATATATACTGTACATAAATTTAAAGTAAATTTTCAACATAATACAGGTAACATTTACTTTTCAGCTCTTGGATTCCTTAATTTTCTATTCCTTGCATCTCCTACTTCTGGGACATTTCTCCACTCATCTTCAGTTACAGATATCAAACCTCGTTTCAAGTCACTAAATTGTTGCTGAATTTTTGGTCTTTCTTGTCTGTATCTTTCCAATTCATCTTTCAGCCTTTTTTCTCTGTACTCTTTTCTCTTTTCATCCATACGTTTATCGATAGCCTCATAAATCTGATCTGCCTCTTCATCATCCTTATCATAAGGGTCTTTACTAAAAAGTGAACCCCCATATCCTGAAAATTCATCATAATTGGAGTCATTTAAATCTTCTTCTTCTTCTTCCTCCTCATCCTTTTTTTTCCTTTTACTAGGAGGCGCATGTCTATCATCAGATACATCATTGGCATCTCGAGCAGGTCCAATATCAGATCGGGTAGTAAACCCAGTAGCCCTATCAATTAAAAATTTTTTAATTTAAATAGTAAAATAAAGTAAACTGTAAAATAAATGCTGACAAGTAGACAATTTTCGTTCAGAATAAACATAAACAACGGTTGAAAAAGACGGATTATTAAGCAAGCCATTTTCATTTTTTTATAAATTTAAAACACCGTGATAATAATATCAATAGAATAATTATTTTTACCCTCTTCCTACTCCAGCTACATATCCCAAAGGAGCCGGTACGCCCAGAAAATGTTTTTTATTTCTATTTACCAAAGCTGCATGAGGTATTGCCATAATTAAATTGGTAAACAGTCAGTGTCTAAAGACACGATTATTAGCATAGAAATTGTTATGTAGGATAAAATAAGTTCATTTTGAACGAGTTCTCCGATTTATCTTTTTCGTGTCAATTTTTTTTTTTTTTTTTTTAATGAACAATTTAATTTATATTAAATGCTTTGTTTTTCTAATTTAACTGTTTCGAATAACCAAAATTTAAAAAAAAACATAAATCACGAAGGAATATCATTAAAAATTTTATTTTATTTATGTATTCTTTTTTTTTTTGAGAAGCTATTAAAATAAAAATTAAGATTTTCAATTTTTAAAAATTCTAAAATCAAAGAAAATAATGAAATAGAAATAAGACGTGATCATTAATTATTATTGAATATTAAATTAAACATTATTTGGGTATCAAACTTGAAGGATAAAAATTGGTTTTATTAAAATAAAAAAAACTCTATATTTATTTATCATATGTTTTAATTTTTACAGTAGAAATGATAAAGTATTTAAATACGAAAATAATCAAAGATATTTAAGCTATATTAAATACTTTTAATAACAATTTTACATTTGTATATGTATATATATATATATATATATATATATATATATATATATATATATATATATATATATATATAGTATTTTATTTTTTTCAATATCCTTTTGATTGTAAATTTTTTATGATTCTTAAAATATCAGATCTTTTCTTTTTTGCACACTGCTCAGAAATGATTCCACAGCCATTTACTTTATTATCTTTTAAACAATAGTTTATTATAAAATCCACATTACACAATAAATATATTCCACAATCATAACTATTGGTTTGCTGCAGACATTCATATTCGATGAAATCTCCTGTTCCATCAGAACTCAGATATCTCAACAGTTTTCCAGAAAGTTTTCCAGCTTGTGAATAATTTGTACCTTTTAAAGAGTCAAAATGATAAAAAGTCTCTTCTGGTTTACTATAAACCAGTAAACTCCAATGTGAGCCTCCAGCTTTATCCATTATTTCACAGTTGTTTAAAGCCAAAAAAACAAATTTTTTTTGTTTAGCAGCAAGTGGATCTAAAAATATAGTTAGTTCTGTTCCCTTTGTTGCCTTTAAACATTGTACCACTTCAGGACTGATAAACAGCAAATCTTTTTCATCCAAATATGCCGCTTTTTCTAAATATTCAAAATAAAATGTTATTATGTTATCATTCAGCCAGTGAGGACCCATTAACAAATCAATATCTGACTGATGAAGAAGAGTATCTTTAAAATTCAATATAATAGGGTTTGTATTCATTTGAATAATTACTAAATTTCCCTTTTTTAAACTAAGAACTTTATTCTAATTCAAACGATTACCTCACCGATCATATTATTAAAGCACTACTTAAATTATGATGAAATTATACCACAGAGTTATTCGCAGTTTACTAACATTTTTACATATATTTTAATTATTTTTAATTACATTATAGATTAAAAAGTAGAAACATTAAGTATTTACTTGAAGTATTTATTTTTAATTTTATTAAAAAAATATGACTTGAAATAATATTTTCAATAAAGTTTAACTCTATGTTTTTTTCTTAACGACATTTCAAATGTCAAATAATATAAGATAAATTGTCGTCTGTGGTTAGAAAAAAATTGTCCAGTAGCAACTTTGCCGCTAGAATATGTCAGTGCAATTATGAAAATTTTAATTTGCATAGTATTTATGATATGTATCTCGTTAAGTGATTGTGTTCTATCGAAAAGTGACAAATCGAATACGACAAAGACAAAGCGTACTACTCGGGTTAGTTACGAAATGATTATTTTCCTTAAGTATTATGTATTTTTATAATGCCTTGAAAAAAAAATTTTATATATATTTATTTCTCTTTATTGTATGCAATGAAATAATTTATTAAATTTAGTTTGTTTATTATAATTTTACTGGAACGGATCATTAACCAGTACATTTGTTATCAAAAAATTTTAAAAATATAAAAAATATTTTTTTAGGTTGGTCCGCAGCCCACAGACGTCCAGACGAGAAATTTGGTTTCGGCGGAACCGGCTGCGAGGGATATTATTGCTGAGCATGGAACTTACTTCGAGAACGTCAATAAAAGACAATTTTCAGGTAATGTTTTGGGTTATGTTACACCTTGGAACAGTCAAGGTTACAATATAGCAAATATATTCACTCCCAAGTTCACGCACATATCTCCAGTTTGGCTGCAAGTTAAGAAAAAAGGGTCTTTATCGTACAAGATCACAGGAAAACACAATGTTGACTCAAAATGGATGAATGGACTTAAAAAAAATAACATTAATGTTAAGATAACTCCTAGAATTTTATTCGAAGATTGGAGTATAAGTGATTTTATAAATTTATTTTCTAGTGAAAATGAACAATCAGAATTAATTGCCACTCTTATAAAAGCCTGCAAAAATAATAAATTTGATGGTCTGGTGTTAGAACTTTGGTTGCAAAGTGGAGGGAGGATAGACAGTCAAATTTTGGTAAATTTTGTAATTTTAGTGGCACAAAAATTTAAAGAAAACTCTTTAGAAATTATTTTGGTAATACCTCCTAGCAGGGGGTATAAAAACGAAATTTTTACTGAGGAGCATTTTAGTCAACTCTCAGATTTTGTTTCATCATTTTCTTTGATGACCTATGATTATAGCAATCCCCAAAGACCTGGACCCAACAGTCCTTTACAGTGGGTGAAAAAATGTGTTGAATTTTTGGTACCAGACAGTAAAAATCCCAAAAGATCTAAAATTTTGTTGGGTCTAAATTTCTATGGTAATGATTACACAGTTTCTGGTGGTGGTCCCATTGTGGGACATGATTTCATTAAATTGCTGAACGATTATAAGGGGAAGCTTAAATTTGATAATGTTTCTAAAGAAAATTTCTTTGAAGTCAAGTAAGTATCAATAAATGAAACAAGAACTTTCCATTTCTTTACTTTTCTAAAAATCTCAAATGTACACCTTAATTTTTTTTTTTTTTTTTTCAGATCCAATGGGCAAAAGCATTTAATATTTTATCCAACATTGTACTCTATATCTCAAAGAATAAATTTGGCACAAGAGCTAGGAACAGGAATTTCAATATGGGAACTTGGTCAAGGATTAAATTACTTTTTTGATTTGTTTTAAGGTAATTACTAATTTTTGCCAATTATTTTTTTTTTTTTTTGACTTTTGTGTGCTTTTACTTTAAAAGGCTGAAATATTTTGAATTTTTTTCGTTCATACATACATATATATATATACATTTTGCTTTTTGAAAATTACTACTTTAGTAAAATTTTTACAAAGCAGTTATTACCATTTTCATTATCTCATTATCATAAAAAAATGAAATGCATAAAATAGTAAACGTTTAAATTTCAATTTATTAATAATATGAAAATTTTATTACATTTCTTTCTCTTTACTCTCGCCCAAAAAAAAAAAAAAAAGTTTTAAAAATTGTGGCTTCTTAATTGAGTTGTAACCGTCACATTAAACTTTATTCTTTGTCGAACAAATAAATTTGTGGCTTGAAATTATTTTCAAAGTTTTATCACAGTCATGTAAAAGCAAAATTGTTTTTACATATTTGAGTAATTTAATTTTTACTTTACTTTAATATTTTCATTTTTTTCTTGGCCTTTAAATGTCATCATTGATTGTGGTCCTTGCATTACATAGTACATAAGAGCCCAACACAATTTATCCGGTAAAAAACTGAAAATAAATTAAGAAAATGGGGTAACGGGTATAACTAGTATTAAAAATGAAATATTTAACTAAAAAGTTACCATTTTAAAGGCAAAAAAAATCTAACACAAGTGGGTAAAGTCACGTTAATTTCATTAGCAAGTATGGCGGCTACCGATTGCTCGGCTACTTCTTCCGGTTCTAACATTGCCATTAATCTGTGAATTAAAAATAATTTTATGTTAAAAGAAAAAAATTTAATTGTTTTTTGCCATATATGTATATAATCAAAGAATATTTTTATAATTCTATTCTTACCTGGGTTTCACTCCGTAAAACATTCCAGTATTTATGTAATAAGGGCATATTAATGTTAGCTGAATTCCATCATATCCGTTGGCCTCAAAAAAAAAAAAAAAAATTTTAAAGTTAAAATATTTTATTATTTACAAATAACGATATTAGGAGAATTAGGGAAAGTTACAAAATTCGGGGGAAACTTTTTTTTTTGTTTTTTACCTTTAATTCAGTGAAAAGGCTCTCGTGAAATCCCACAGCAGCAAATTTTGTTGCACTGTAATCGGTACACTTGTATGTTCCTAATAAACCTGCCACACTTGCTACTGTTACAATGTGTCCATGATTTTTGAGCATCATATGTTTTAAAAATGCTTTGGTCGTCTGGAAATAAGTTAAATGGCTTAACTATAGTAATCGTTAAAATAAAGTATGACAAAACTTTCATATTCGATGTGAACTTTCACGTGAAACGTGTTTAAAATACCACAACTCACCCAATAATGAGCTAAAATATTAACTTGAAAAGTCCTATCGATTTCATTATCAGGTAAATCCAATAACGTTTTACCATAAACAACTCCGGCATTATTAATTAGTATAGTGACGTCTCCGATTGATTTTTTAATTGCATTTGCCGTCCTGTAAATTTCATCTCTATCGGTCAAATCGCAAGTAAATCCGTGAGCTTTTCCTCCATATTTTGTTATTAATTCAACCGTATCTTTTATGCCTTAAACAAGAAAAAAAAAAAAAAAATTATCATTTTCTTTAACTGACTAATTAACTACGTATGAAAATAGCCTCCTTTCGCTAAAATATTTTACCGCTATTTCACCTGAAAAAATTATGTCACGTATTTAAATGATGAATTATTTAGAAAAAAAAAAAAAATTTAAATTTATTTACTTGTAAATAAGTTTTTTTTCTTCTTTTTAAACGTTCGTTTATCAGATAATAAAACAACTTAATATATATTACATGTATATACGTGATGGTGACGATGCATTTTTTTTTTTTTTTTTCTACTTTAATTATTATTATTATTACTATCATAAAGTATACGAATGTCACGGTTAAATTATCTGTATTTCATTAATCATACATTTTATTCATCTATATTAATTTTTTTTTTTTAATTTTCATTCATTCTTATTTATATTTATTTAAATACAATCAGATATATATATGTATGTATGTATGTATGTATAATTTTATTAAGAAATAACATGAAAAAAAGTTAAAAATGATTTTTTTTAAAAAAAAAAAAAAAGGAGAACGTAGATGAAGGTCAAGTTGAGTGAGTGAGTGAGTGAGTGAGTTTGTTGGTTGTATACGTTGTGTGAGTGGTTGTTTAATTCTATATTTCTGGCTAAATAATAATATTTATTTATTTATATCTATATAGATACAAACCTGTTTTGATTTTTAAAATTTTTGTCAACTAATTCCATTTAAACACACGCCCTGTATACATTTTTTTTTTATAAAGAATTTGTGATTTGTCCTTTTCCATTTACAATTACAATTTATTATAAAAAATATTTTTTTACTTACTGAATAGTTTATTTGAATTTGCCAATAAAATTATCAAAATTTAACAAGATAAACGTAAAAATAAATAAATCCTCTCATGTTTTGATAGATTGTCTGTCTATCGTCATTAAAGATTAAAAATTTAATTAATTTAATATAAACAAAATATGGTGTTAATTATTGTAATAAATGATTTCATACCATCTTTTTTTATATCCCATACGATAACAGTGGCTCCCAATTTGGCAAATTTTAAAGCAATAAGTCTTCCAATGCCACCACCGGCTCCAGTCACCAAAACAATTTCTCCAACGACATTTTTCCTTCTAAATTTTCTCGGTATAAAAAATAATATGATTGATTCACAAAAATAATAAGCGGATAATAGAAAAAATAAAAAAATATCTTTTATCAAACGCACGGTTTCGTAAAGTCTTTCTTCTATGTCGTTCATTTTCTAGAACAAATAGAAAGAAACACGGTTTTCGGTGTTGACTTCTTCTTTCATTCTTACTTTTTTTTTTTATTTCTCCTTCCCATCCATGTTTTTATAAAAATTTTTGCCACCACTTTTATTTAAAATTTCACTTTTTTTTTTTTCTTGCATGTACGCGCGCTTATTATTACCTTTATTCATTCGCAGATATTTAAGAGAAAATTATTAGAATTTTAAAAAGTTGATCAGACTTCTTTTTCCATAATTTCTCTTTTTTCATAAACTTAAACATGGATTGATGATGGGTTATTTCCATGCTCCAGTTGAATTTTTGCGTTTTTTATTATGTCTTTTTTGACATTGACCTACGTATTTTTCAGACTTTGTTTTTATAACTTTTGTACTTGTACAAAGTAACTTTTTTTTTTTTTTTTTAAACTCTGGAAAGATTTTATAAAAATTATTATTAATTTTTTTTCATATATTTAGTAGTATATTAAGCTCAAATGACAAAGTGTTAAAATTTTGACCATTTGACATATTTTTTTTTTTCTACGTTCTTAATTAATTTAAAAAAAAAAAACAAAATTCAAATTTTTATTTTTTTATTAACAAATTTAATAATAATTTGTTATCACACACACGCACATGATTTATTAAATAATAAAATGAATTTAAAATGTTTTTATTGTCCGAATGTTTGCAATTGTAACACATCTTGTTGTTTCGGTTTTAAAATTCCAATAACACTCGGATATATTATTTGTTCTTTTTGGTTGATGTTCAATGGTATAACTTTTCCAATAATGTCAATAATATTTTGGCCGGATAAATACATATATAATATATCTATACTTATTTGTTTTATTAATTTAATTTTAATGTTTATTTCATTTATAAACATACGTTTTAAAAGTCAAAAATTATTCAACACGGTACTTTATGGCGTCGCCATTTTTTATTTTACCGAATGTTTAATCGTATTATTCGGTATAAATTCAAATGTAACTAAAAGTAATACGTTGATAAGAAAATCATTTAAAAAATTATTCAATATGGAATTGAAAAATCCACTTGGAGTTATTCGAAGCACTCAAATTGTTTTTTATTCTTATTTATTTTTATCATATGTTTATTGCGGTTTTATTTTACAATTATACGAAATTAAATGTATGAGACGAAATTTCAGTTATAGAAGAGAAACATTTTCTTAAAAAAAAAAAAAATTCTTCCAATTTTCCCTTAAAATTTATGTTATTTGGCTGAGCATAAAAAAAAAAAAAAAATTATTGATTTGACGGTAGGGAGGAAGGGGAGGAGGTTTAATTATTTTTTATTATGTATTTTTTGACAATAAGTTAAAATTTATTCGTTGTAATATAAAAAATTCTTTTTTTTGTTTTCATTGTTCCCACCGTTAATTTCTTTTTTTTAGTAAATTTATTTAAAATGATTTTCCTTGAGATTTGAAATTACATTGCGTGCAATAAATAATTTCTATACGAATTATACCCCCCTCCCTCCCCCCTCCCCACACACACACACAAACAGTTTAACAGAAATCTCTTTCATTCAAATTTTTTTGGAAACAAATAAAAAACTGCAATAAAAAAAAAAAAATTTATTATTATCATCATTGATTACAAATAATTATTTTTATTTACCGAAACTTATAATAAATTTTTTATTTTTATTTTTTATTTGTTTCCAAGAATTTATTATTATTATTATTATTAATAATATTACCCTGGTAGTGTTTCATGCGTGAACAAAAAAAAAAAAAAGTATATAAAATTTCTTTTTGAAACAAGTTATTATCATTAAACGTGAAATTTTTCTTTTTTTTTTTTTTTGCAAACTTATAATACGAAATTTTTTTTTTTTTTTTTTAGACTTTAAACACAAATGTGAATTATTATATAAGTGAATGCGTAATAAACACCCAGAAGTAAAATAATAATAATAATAATAATTTTTTTTTTTGTACCTTTTCCGCCATATTTAAAATGTTTTAAAAACCGTCGTAATTAGTTTTTCATATATGTATTTTTTGTCATCCTCGCGAGCAATCTTCATATTATTATTATTATTTATTTATTTATTTATTAATCGACGATATAAAAACAAGGCGAATGCATATAGTAAAACATGATAAAATTTTTTCCTAATCCTCAGGGTTTCAAGGTAATTATTATTATTATTATTATTAACACGTAGAATTTGTGCTTTCGAGGGAAATTTTTTATTTATTTACAGAAATCATAGATTTTGAGTAAAAATCTATTTATTAATTAATAATATAAAAATAATATTAATTAAATTTTAATTTCCTTCGTTTGTTTACAAACCCCTTAAAAGTTTTAAGTGGAATTTTCATTATGTGATTATATTTTTACAAATAATAATAATAATAATTTTTATTATTCCCCCTTCCTCCCTCCCCTCCCCCCTTATGTCAAAGTTTAAATAAATAATTGTTTGTATGCCTCATCTTATTTGCAAATTTAAATTTCATGAACAAATTTTTTTTTTTTTTATAATTGTTTTATAATGACGACAAAAGTTGTGTCACGTAATAAGGTTTAATTTACTGTTTGTATCTCTCCCACCTACCCCCCATACCCCCCTTACCCCCCATCAAAGTGCGGAAACTTATAATTAACAGAAAAAATAAAATAAATAAAAAAAATTTGAAATTTTTTTAATGATGAGGAAACCAAAAAAAAAAAAAAATTATTTGGGAAGCTTCAACGGGTTAAAAAGAGGTTGTTGTTGTTGTTGTTTTTTTGTTAACTTTGGAATTACAAAATTTTAATTATATACGTGCTTGGTTGAAAAATAAAAAAATTTTGTTGTAACCTTGTTACATAAGAGGACAATATAAAAAAAAAAAATTATGCATAAATAATATATATGTATACATGCAGGTAGATAATATCATCATGTTTTTTAATTTGCAATGAAAAATTATTATTATTATGTTTACTGACTTTGAACTTTAAACATTTTTTATATTTTCTTGTTGTAAAACATAACAGATCGCTTTTTTTTTTATATTTAATGTTTTAGTTTTCAGTTTGTATTAATAATAACATGTGATGGATTGTTTTTAATAATTTTTTTTTTTTTTTTTTTTGATAAATAAATTTGACCCATCAGAGTTTAAATCGGTTATCAATTTGTTGTTTTTCTCTTGTGGTTAATAAAAAAAAAAAAAAATATTTGTAATAAATATTCTCTTTGAAAACTAATTGAAAAAAAAAAAAGGTATGAATCTACATATTTTCTGGTGTAACGGAACAATTTTTAATTTTTATATGTTTTTTAACGGAATTTGTGACCCCGAGTTATTTATTTACAACCACCGGAACTCGTATGCGAATTTTTATGGCGGAAGGAAAATATATTTATTTATAACGGATTTTATTTATTTTATTATTTATACGTATACGCGTGTGCGTGTGTGTGTGTGTGCGTGCGTGCGTGCGTGTTCGCGCGTATAAAATTTTGATTTGATTTGTGTAATCGAATGGAAAATAATTATTTTTTTCTTGTTATAAAGAAAAGAATAAAAAAAATTTACCATATTAAGTTCACTTATACTTGTTTCATAAATAATAATGGGCAAAAAAAAAAGCATTAAAAAAAATTTTTTTTTTTTA